CTGAGTGCGTTGCCATGCCTCCTCCAGGGGATCTTCCCCACCCAGGGATCTAGCCTGTGTCTCCTGGGCTTCCTGCATTGCAGGCAGATCTTTAACCACTGAGCCATGGGGGAAGCCGAATACAGACTCAGAACCAGGCAAAGCAAGGTGCTCAGCCAGAGAAAAAACCAAAGAAGTATTTGAAGAGATTAAAAGGCCACACTGTCACCACCTACCAATCTTCCCAGAGTCTTCTCACAAACATACGTCTGAATGGTCCTGGACTGTCTCATTTTGATATGGACCAAAATGAGGATCACCCTTTTAATATAAAATTTCTTCAATAGAAGACTAGTAAACAGTAAGAAAATCTCCTTGATACTCGAGAGGGATATGAATTAATGTTAACGAAATCTAGATACTTGAACGCTGAACACAGTTTATCAAAGAAATTGCAAATGAATTTGTGTATTTTGCAAACAAGGAAATGACCACGAACTGCCTAAAACATACCTTTTATGAAAGGGGCAGAAGCCAACTTGTTCATTATCTCCTGGGTGGTCTTGGATTCAGGAGCAAATGCAATAACGTAATCAGAATCATTAAAATTATCTACACGTCCCAAGTCCACAGCGGGCAGTTGAGGGAAGTCATTAACTTGGTGTAAATTAGAGGAAAGCAGGTGAGCAAACAGCACTAGAAGGCTTGAGAAGAGCCATTCCTACAGACAGTGAGGGAAAAAGGAAGCAAGTCAACAGATGTTCTACCACGGACTGATCAGAGACAATTTAAAAACTCTTCATTCTGTTGGCGCTTGGACATTTCTTTCTCCTCTCTTCCAGTTTTTAAGCGTTTAAGTGTTTCGACTTTCTTTGGTCTTTTAATCCGTGTATTTTGAAATATGCACATCATCCATCAAGACAGAGTTGCAGTGTCAATTCCAATTATAATTAATAATTTAAGTTTATTTACTTCAATGCAAGTGTTAAAGGCTGGATTGCTTCATGAATGGTCGTGTTGACCGCTGAGTGAGAATGATAAAGAAATGTTCATTGAAATTAAGTAGACAATCCACCTCCATAATCAGGAGTGAAGTGGTATATTTATTTTCTGCTGCCCAAATGCAAAAGAAGATAGCTCCAAAACATTGCTTCCTGAGAAGACTTTTAAAAGCCTTTGTCATTGTGATGGCATTCTGGAATTGGAAATGTACTCCAAAACATTGCTTCCCAAAAAGACTTTTAAAAGCCTTTTTCGTTGTGATAGCATTCTGGAATTGGAAATGTACCAGAATTTCAAATGCATTTGAAATCTGATAAGAACACACTTTATTGTTCAGTTATAGGGATCAAACACAGGTCTCCTGCATTGCAAGTGGATTCTTTACTGTCTGAGCTACAAGGGAATCCCATAATTGTAACACATGGCCTTTAAAAGAGGTATATATCTTATTCACCAGATGATTGTACTTTAACTCATATGTCAGTTTGTTTTTACACCTATATCTGCTTAGATAAATAAATTGACAGTTATAATCCTTATACTAAAAGAGATAAAAAGACATAAAACATCTCTATAGTGTAGACTCCATCTTTTACACGTATATAACCCTTCCTCCACACAGGGGTCTTTGTATACTTCAATCACTGCCGATTTAAGCACTCAGTGCACATTTGTTGAAAGAACACATGCACACTCACAATGTTCAGAAAGTGAAATGTTAATATATCCACTCTTGAAATATGGGTATTTTACAAGTGATTTTAAATTAGATTTTTCTGAATTTACTAAAGTTCCTACATGAGTAGTATGCGATCATCCTTAGGAAGCTTACTACAAGCAAGAGTTCAAATGCCGTTTTCCTTTCCTCTGTTTTTCTGCTCATGATTTCTTTCAAACCGACTTGATCTCTGTCCGTAGTACAGTGGTGTGCAAATGCTACAATTTGCCCTTGGAGTTTTTTTTTTTTTAGTTTTGTATTACTTTCTGGATTAAGTTCCGATTACTTTCTGGATTAAGTAAGTTTCTTTTACTTTCCTGCTGAATTTCTGTACTTATTCCTTTATGAGATTCAAATGAATTCAGATATAATTGCTACCTCAGTAGGATAAATTTTCAGGCTTTATTTTTAATGGGAGTTTGTTTTCATAGCTTTATTTTTCACGGAGTTTTTGAGTATAAATTCTTTACAAATTGCTTTCAATAAGATGCGTCATAATGAAATTTCATATTTGAAAGGAATCTCACTTGAAATAATAGCAAAGCTCAGAATTTGAAAAAAAAAAATCCAAGCTGCTAATTAGAAATAGAATATCTATGAAAGAGTAAAGAAAACAGATAAAGTGTTTGTGCACAAGAAAGTACTCTGTCCTCTTTTAAATATGAGATGACATAGACTCTGAACCATACCGACAAGGTCTCTCTTTTCATCCTCCATTTCCTAAGAAAATTCTTGCCAAGAAGCGCCCTCGTTTGCTGGCCCACACTGAAGTGCCTCTTGCTCATCCTGACCTGTTTATTTTAAAAGGAGAAAGTAAACGGGGAAAATGTGAGGGTTGGAAATAGAAAACATTGTGCAACCCAACCAAAGAGAAACATCACAACAGCTGATCCCAACTGCATGAGTAGCAAAAGGAGCCAAAAAGCTGAAAAACACGTGAAGGGATGATGGAGCTCGGGATGAAAAGACAGAAAGCTCCAAACAAGTGTGCGCACACGCACTGTATGTGATTCCTCGTCAGACTGAGGAAACAGAGAATCAGCAGAGTCGTGCTCAGTTCTTTAATGGGATAAAGGAACACTAGGTGCTGCCGGCAGGAGAAGACCGCCCAGCCATTCTCGGGGTTCATCACCAGCTCCTCACTGCTTCGCAAACATCCCGCCGTCCGTCAGCACTGCTCCTGCTGTGTACGCCAAATTCCCACACGCGTCCACGCGGGGCCTGTACCAGGATGCTCTTCACAATGGGGAGCAGATGTGAATGGGTACAGTTCGTGGAGTACCGGGTAGGACTCAGAGGCAGTAAATCAGTACCCAATGAGCCACGTGAAGAGATTTTAAAGCACAGTGCCAATTTAGAAAATGGAAAAGAAGTTTGAAAGTGATACCACTGCGTCATTTGTATTCATCAGTGCAGGCGTGCTCAGCTGCTCCGTCCTGTCTGACTCTTTTGCGCCCCCGGGGACTACAGCTCACCAGCCTCCTCTGGCCTTGGGATTTCCCAGGAATACTGGAGTCGGTCGCCACTCCCTTCTCTAGGGGATTTTCCCAGCCCGGAGATTGAAGCTGCGTCTCCTGCATTGGCAGGTAGGTTCTTTACCACTGAGCCACCTGGGAAGTCTGTATTAATTAATACTGCGAGCAATAAAGAATATCCAGGACTATGAAAAGGTGACCAACAGCCGTTCAACGTATATAACCAGCATCTACAACTCAACCCCTCCCAAAACTAACAACCCTATTGAAAGCGGGCAGAAGAGCTGAACAGACATTTTTCCAAAGAGGAAAGGCAGAGGCGCAAGAAAAGATGGTCAGTATCGTATCTGTGATCGTCGGGGAAATGCAAACCCAGACCGCAATGAGATGTCACCTCACAACGCTCAGAATGCCATTATCAGAAACACCACAAGTCACAAATGTCGGTGAGGATGTGGAGAAAGGGAGCCCTCGAGCGCTGTGGGTGGGAACGTCAGTGGGTGCAGCCACTGTGGACAGCCACGCTAAGGTTTCTTGCGGAACTAAAAACAGGACTGCCATATGGCTGAGCAGTGCCACGCCTGCGCAATATCTGAAAGGAACAAAAACACTCATTTTAAAAGATACTTGCACCCCAGTGTTCGGGCTCCGTCTGTGGCTCAGCTGGTGAGGAGTCTGCTTGGAATGTGGGAGACCTGGGTTGGGAAGATCCCTTGAAGAAGGGAAAGGCTACCCGCTCCAGTATTCTGGCCTGGAGGATTCCACAGACTGTGCAGTCCTTGGGGCCGCCAAGAGTCAGACATGACTGAGGAACTTCCACTGTCACTTCCCCGATGTTCTCGTAGCGTTATTTACGATCGCCAGGGTGTGGACGCAACCCAGTGTCCACCAGCAGAGAATGAAACATTTCCATTTGCAACAATAAGGATGGACCTGGAGAGCATTACGCTAAGTAAAGTAAGGCAGGGAGAGAAAGGCAAGTACCGTATGGCACCACGTGTATGTGGAATCTAAAAAATAGTACAAACTAGTGAACAAAACAAAGCAGACACAGACTCTCAAATACAGAGAACACACCAGTGGTTGTCAGTGGGGGCGGGGAGGGAGACACAGGGGTGGGTAGGGGAAGGGTGGTCATGGGCTTACACGAATTCACGTGTGTGAAACTTTTGAAAACTGTAAAGTACCTGATGCAAAGAGCCGACTCACTGGAAAAGACCCTGACGCTGGGGAAAATGAGGGCGGGAGGAGAAGGGGACGACAGAGGATGAGATGGTGGGATGGCATCACCGACTCAATGGACACGAGTCTGAGCAAGCTCCAGGAGACGGTGAAGGACAGGGAAGCCTGGCGCGATGCAGTCCACGGGGTTGCAGAGAGTCAGACACAACTGAGCACCTGAACAACAACAACAACTGAATTTAAAGAATCTTCCATCCAATTAGAAAAAATAAAAGGCAACCAGTGGGGATGGGAGTAGAGGTGGCATGTGAGACAGGAGTTTTAAACTCAGGAAGATAAATGATCAAAACAGACAGGGGCTTTGCTTGAACCAGTCATTCAATCATTCAGCTGAAACAATGAGAGAATAGAAGGAGTTTGAACATAAGAGATTGGAAAGGAAATAAAACTAACTATATTCAACGATGCTTTTTTCATGCTCCAGCTCTACGTGTTTTATTAAAATTAGCTTAACCCTTCCAATAAATCTCTGGGATATGATTCTCCCCACTCCACAGATGAGGAAACTGCAGCACAAACAGGTCCACGAGGCCAGGAGGGATTTAACCCAGGTTGCCAAGCTCCGGAGACCTCGCCACGAAGCGATGCCCCCAGGGCCCAGGAGAATAAAATCAGCAGCCTGTCCTGAGGTTGGTGACCAGCTGCCCTCAGACCAGGGAGGTGAGCTCGGATTCTCAGGGCAGACCCAGCGTCATCACAAGGGTCCTCAGACATGCAGAAGGGAGGACTCTGACCTTCTGCAGGAGGTCAGCGTGAAGAGGAGGTCAGAGTGGAGCGATGCAGTGTGTGTGCTTAGCCACTCTGTCGTGTCTGACTCTTTGCAAACCCGTAGACTGTAGGGGCCAGGCTCCTCTGACCATGGGATTTCCCAGGCAAGGATACTGGAGTGGGTTGCCATTTCCTCCTCCAGGGGATCTTCCCCACCCAGGAATCAAACCTGCATCTCTTGCGTCTCCTGCATTGGCAGGCGGGTTCTTTACCACGGCGCCAGCTGCAAAGCCCTTACAGTGCTGTTTCAAGGACTCAGCCTGTTGTTTGCATCCAGGATGGAGAAAGAAGGGCATGAGCCAGGGACACAGATGCGTCTAGAAGCCAAGAAAATAAGAAAACAGAATTGTCTCCTGCATCCTCCAGAAAGGAGCACACCTTGCCCACACCTTGATTTTGGTCCAGTGACCCTCAGGCCCCACTTCTTACCTCCCGAGCTGTACAGTGACCCCTGTCGTTAGGGCATGGGTTCAGGTTTAGAACCTGTCCAGGAGTGAAGGAGGGGTTTAGAAGCTATGCGGATGAGTTCCTGATAATAACGTCATCAGAGAAGACTGGCAGCTGGAGACTGACTGAAACCAAACCCAAATATTCCCAGGGCTGCTCTGGTGCCCCAGTTGTTACGGGTCTGCTTTGCAATCTGAGGGACACTGGCTCACACCCCGGTCTGGGAAGACCCTGCTTCTGCAGAGCCACTAAGCCCGTGAGTCCGAGCCTGTGTCTGGCGCCCGAGGGCCCGGGAGCCCGTGACCTGCGACAGGAGACGCCAGTGCGGTGAGAAGGCCCCGGCCGCAGCTCGACAGAAGCCCGCACGGCAGTAAGGACCTGGTGCAGCCAGAAACAAAAAAACAAACAAAATATACAAGTACATGAAACATTTCCAGGTGGGAAACCAGTGCTGCAGTAGACCGTGGTGTCTGGAAGGGTTGACACACTGCTGGGGTCTCCTCTACTTTCTTGCTGTGGATGAATGCATGTGCTGCAGAATATTTTAAAGAATACTGAACGTGATCTAGTCATGATTGTGGTGTTTCTAACTGTTAAGGCTGATTCTTTTTTCCACAGCATGTCCTGGTCAGAAATAAAAATACTATTCACTGTAGTTGCACAAAACATCTATTTAGCTTAAATTGCTCTGAATAGGAGCCCGTAGTGATCTAGAAATAATAACTTGGCTATAAAAGCCAGTCATTTCCTATTCAGACAGGATTCCCAGTATTCAGAGAATAAATATGTTACACAACAAAGTTTACAAAAATTTAGGATGATAAACAAGGTCAATAAAAATATAGCCAGTTAAGTCATTTAAATGCTCAGACCCTTAGGTTGCTGGTTAAAAAAAAATTAATACTCAGAAAATCATGTATCCCCCAATGCGTATAAAGCCTCTGGCAGCAAAATTGGAAATGAACAAAAAAGAATAAGCAATTTCTACAGTTTGAGAAATATAGCTTATCCTAGTAAAGAGGCAACATAAAGTCACATTCCTTTCAGCTTATCCAATAGTCTCTTAGATAAAACATGCTATTTGTCCAAATATGCTTTAGTCATGGGGTAAAAATTTAAATAAACCTTGGTTCTCCAAATGGTTATTTAGCCATACAACATGAAATACTCAGATGATTTGAAAAATCAAAATGACTTGCTAACAACATCCTGCATCTAATAGTTTTCATCCAAGTGTTTGGCATTCCCTGTTTGAAGTCACAAGCTATATTTTCATATACAAAAGCACGGTTTCAGAGGTTAACTTACTCTCAGGAAAGCTGGAGCGGGACTCCAGCAATAGTTCATCCACGGGTCTCCGCGGGTCCTGGAGAACAATTCACATTCCTTTTGGGTCACTACTACATCACGCTTTTAATTTCATGTTTATTGTGAATAGTTCCGTGTAGAATGATTTCCGTAAAGGATTATGGTCTTAATTCAGCCAGACTGCCAAAAACTCTGCTCACGTGACATGGAGACTTCATTATAGCTTTCCATTTGTCTCCCCGCCAGCTCCTCAGCAGGGAGTTCGCAGCTGCAGATGGCTGGCTGGACACAGCAAACATGAAGTACTATCAAATCAAAGAGGAGCTAGTCTTTTCCAATTGGCTTTTTCATACAAGGCCCTCATGGGAGAGCTGACTCCCAACACAGGCTTTTAAAGAAACATAAGTAAAGAAACAGTTCAGAACAGAGCAGAGACAAGTAAAAAAGAAAAAAAAAATGACATGGAGAAGGAAACGGCGATCCACTCGAATATTCTTGGGAGAATCCCATGGACAGAGAAGCCTGGCGGGCTACTGTCCCTGGGATCGCAAAGAGTTGGACATGGCTGAGCAGCTAACACACACACACACACACACACACACACACACACACACACTCTGTCCTGAGCCCAGGGGATACCTGTGAGAAGCACTCATGCACCCATTTGAAAAAAAAAGACAAATACAGAAACAGGCCAGAAAGTAACTCAAAAGTTTCTGTTGAAATTTTGTTCTTAAAATCTGGATATGGAAATATGGCGATGTAGAATGTAATTTTTTTAAGGGAACAAAATGAACTGAGTTTTCATCTTCATCTGAGTTGTGTTGCATGCAAGCAACCTGCAGCATCTTTCTTGCAGTGGGGAGTAGGAGAGTCCTTAGAGCAACGTCACCTCAAAGCACCTGCCCTCCCAAGATCTACAAGCTCGCTGTTTCTGCAAAAGCGCCAGAAGGCAGACTGCTTTCTCTGTAAGCAGCCGCTAGTTTTCAGTATGTCTTGTTTTCCATATTATTGAAAAAACATTTTGAACAGGTAAGAGCTGCCGTTCTATCTTTTTTTGAACATTTCAGGTAAAGACGAGGCAATTCTAAAAAAAAGTGAAAAAGTTGCTCGTGAAATTGCATGAAATTGTAATTTCATGGAAGTGTAATCGTGGAGAACGTTGAGTAGGGGCCAGCGTCTCTCTGCCCGCTGCGTGGGTCTGTTAGTTCCCCTGCCTTGTAACTGCGTCCTGAAAACGCCCCCTGAGGGTATGGCGTGCGGGTGGCCCTCACACCAAGCAGACTCGTCTGTTCCCTACGGGCCGTGATACTCACGTGAGGTCTTCCTCATTTCCCTCGCATTCTCTCATATTTGTTCTCTTGCTAATTGCATGAGTCCAGAAATTGCTAGGCCAGCAAAACAGAGGCAGGTTGAATTCATTAATGCCTACGACTGTCAAACAAACAGACTCTGATTGTTCCTATACACGTCTGCTGTCTTCTGCAGAAGATACAAAATTATCATACTTAATAATACCTGCCAGAGAATATGATGCAGACATTTTGTTTTCAGAAGAACTTTGTATCTAGGAGAGAGATTGTCTTCTGACCCCAGTTGGCTTCTGGACTGGATTCTTTTCTTTCAACCTGCTGGCCTCTTCGTTGACTTTATAAATGTTGTAACACAGCAAGCATACCCTCATTAATCTTCTTTTTCAAGGTTGTCTTGATCAAGCCATGTCTGCACTCTTCTAAATAAGCTTTAGTTTCAGCTTCCCAATTAAAAAAAATTATCCAGTTGGGAGTTCAAAAGTGGAATAGCGGTAATTTTGTAGCATAATGTCCTTATGAAGCAACCACATATGGTATTTATTATGTGCAAGGCACAGTGAAAAATTGCCATACTGAATGAACATTAGAACCTCATGAGGTGGGCATCACCATGCGTGTGTACATGCCTGCCCAGTTGTGTTTGACTCTTCTGAGACGCTGTGGATTGTAAGCCACCAGGATCCTCTGCCATGCGATTCTCCAGGCAAGAACCCTGGAGAGGTTGCCATGCCCCCCTCCAGGAGATCTTCCTGACCCAGGGATGGAACCCAGGGCTGTGTCTCCCGCACTGGCAGGCGGATTCTTTACCTCTGAGCCACCTGGATGTAAGGACCAGCCCAACAAGGAACCGACCCGAGGGAGCGGTGCTGCAGAAGGATAAAGAAAAAGAAGACTCAGAAATACAGTGGGGGTCAGGGGGCTGACGCCACTTGCAGGCAAAAGCCCAGATCCTACTTCTCGCATGCGCTTTACGGTTAACTCCCACTCCCTGTTCCGGCTCTAGCAGTATCAGTTCTTTACAGTCTCAGATGGGGGATAAAGATGCACAATGCACGGTCCTCAGTGTCAAACCTTCAGGTCCTTCTGGACTTTGTTTCGCTTTTTGGCTAGTGACGCCATTTCTCAGCAACTCCCTCAAGGCTCTGGTTACGGGAACCGTCACTGATGGTTTTCCATCAGTCACAGCAGTACCTCAGCATCTTGTTTTCAAGGTGTCTTTCCACGATGTACTTTTTACTGCTCCCAGCCCTTCGCCTGGGGGTGACGAGAAAGTCATTCTTATTTTTCAAAGAAGCCCTGTTAATTATAGTACAGGGCGATGCACAGCGTATCCCCTTCACTGGAAAGCCCAGACCTTCCTATAATCACTCCCGTTTTACAGATGAGTAGACTGAGTCCCTGAGCTTAAATAACTTGCACAAAATCGAACAGCTGGAGAGTAACAGAACTGGGGGGAAACCCCGCCTTCAGCCTGGGATCTCAGATGACAACTGCTGTGTTGTCTGCCCTCTGCGTGTCTCTTTCCCTCCACGAGTCTCACGGGAGATGCAAGCGTTTTACAGTTCTTGACTTTTGCCTCCCGTGTTTTGCAACAGTGCCCTCCAGGGCCGGGAGTCAGATGCTGTCCTTTGCGTGGAGCTAAAGCATCCTCCTCGACTCTCTCCTGGCGATTTGTACGGGGTACCTGGGGCCTTGGGACTTGTGTGCAGCCCTCAAAACTGCATCAGGTCAAAGTGTAAGGGCCTGATCTGCCAAGAGAGCATGCAGCAGCCCAGAAGCCTGGTAGAGAGAGGCGGGGAACGCTGCTCTTTTCCAGAATCTTTTCTGCTCTTGCCCTTCACCCTTGCTGACCAAGCTGCACTGCCTGCATTTGGGTTTCGGTAGATACTCTCCCCAGATTTCCTTGTTTCTTAAAATTAGAATAAGGATATTTTACTTGGTCCTGCTTTATGAACTTTTTGTGTGTGTTGCCACTTCCTTTGTATGACATGTTACTGTCCTCCAATCTTATTTGCAGTTGCATTTCTTGGGTATCTTTTAGCCTCTCTCTATGATCTGCCTGGGCTTCGCAGGTGACTCAGAGGTAAAGAACCTGCCTGCCAATTCAAGAGACACAGGAGACGTGGGTTAATCCCCTGGGTTGGGAAGATCCCCTGGAGAAAGGAATGGCTACCCACTCCAGTATTCTTGCTTAGACAATCCCATGGACAGAGGAGGGCTACAGTCCACGGGGTTGCAAAAGAGTCAGACACGACTTAGCGACTTAACAATGTCATCTGTCTCTGGGATGTCTCATGGAGCAGAATAATCTTATTTTTCTTTCACCTTTTCTGCACATCTTTTACTTTCCACAAGGAATGTAAATCGTAGGATCGACACTGCATCCCATCCAGCCGCTTGATGGGATCGTGTCTAAACTAAGCTTGCCTGTGCTTTTCCACTTCTCCATTCCTACACAGATTGTGTTTTTCCTCCGTTCCTCTCCTTGCCCTTTTGTCCTCTTCTCATCTGGAAAGTTCTGAGTGAGAGCCTCCTGGCATGTTGTTCTACTGGTGCTCACCTTGAAAGGCTAGCCAGTGTATCTGAACCTAGGCTCCTTGGGAGATGTGAACACTCACTGTCTCCACCCATCTTCCCTCCATGGCCTGATCTGGACACACGTGCTCCCTTCCCAGCCCCGAGGACGTCCTTCAGCACATTTGACCTTGAAGCCTTAGCCCCGCTCCTGATGGGCTGTGCAGTGCTGGCGAGTGATGTCCTCTGGAAACTTCCCTTTCCTCACCTGTAAGTGACAAAGAACACTTCGGCATCCGACGGGGTCATATCGAATTTTAAAACTTAGGGTTTGTTGGGCAGGGTAGCAGAGGATGAATATGTGATCACTTATGTGTGAAATCTAAAAAATAAATGACTGAATATAACAAATTAGAAATAGCCTCACAGATACAGAGAGCAAACTAGCGGGTGCCAGTGGGGTTAGGGGAGCAGGGAAGGAAAAGGCGGTCACGAGGTACAAAGCACTGTGTGTAAATAAATAAGCCGCAAGGACACGCTCTACGGCACAGGGAAAGAGCCAGTGTCTTGCATTAACTTCAAATGAAGTATAATCTGTAAAACTTTCGAATCACTACATTGTATACATGACACTAATATTATATATCAGCTCTAAGGAAGTGAGAGTCGCTCAGTCGTGTCTGACTCTTTGCGACCCCATGAACTATACAGTCCATGGAATCCTCCAGGCCAGAATACTGGAGTGGGTAGCCTTTCCCTTCTCCAGGGGATCTTCCCAACCCAGGGATCGAACCCAGGCCTCCTGCATTGCAGGCGGCTTCTTTACCTGCTGAGCCACAAGGGAAGCCCAAGAATACGGGAGTGGGGAGCTTTTCTCCACTCCAGATCTTCCCGACCCAGGAATTGAACTGGGGTCTCCTGCACTGCAGGCGGATTTTTTTTTTTTTTTTTACCAATTGAGCTATCAGAGATGCCCTATATACCAACTATACTTCCATTAAAAAAAAGTCAAAGAACTTGTACCTGTTTTTAAGCTCTAGGTAACTTTCAGCTAATACATTGGTCAAATATGGCCTGCATTCTAGGCAGTTTTTTTTTTTTACTGGAAGTTTGCTAGGTTTTCGAGATCTGTTTTCCCTGTCTTACCTTTTGCCTAACTACCATCTTGAAATTGGAAAGCAATCTGTTTCACCCCACACAGAAACAACCTTTCCACTACACAATTTTAAATGTTTTATTTTATTGTTTTACTTTATAAAATCTATGTCTTTGTTATTCATTTTTATCGAAGCATAGGTGCTTTACAATGTTGTGAGAGTTCCTATGGTACAGCAAAGATAATTAGTTACACGTAATCACACAACTCCTCTTTCTTGAATTTCCTTCCTGTTTAGGTCGCCACAGAGCTCTGAGCACCGGTTCCCTGTGCTGCTCAGCAGGCCCGTCCGTCCTCGGGATTCTCCAGGCGAGAACACTGGAGTGGGCTGCCGTGCCCTCCTCCAGGGCATCTTCCCGACCCGGGGATTGAACCCGCGTCTCTTGTGTCTCTTGCATTGGCAGGCGGGTTCTTTACCACTAGCACCAACTGGGAGGCCATTTTAAAATTATATATACTGCTAATTGTTACGTGCAACATGAGCTTAAATAACATCGACAGAGAATGATCGGGCTGGAGGCTTCGCGGGCCCTCTGAGGGCCCTCTAAGGAGCGGGAGCTCCTGAGACGAGTTTCCATCTCATAGTTGTATTAACCTCTTCATCAACATTCCCCAGCTCCTCCTCCTTAGAGAGTTCTAAGAACACCTGAGTGGGAGGCAGAGAAGAAGGAAAAACAATGAGCAAGCTGTTGATTGGTCTCAAAAGAAACAGGCAACATGCATGGGGCTTTTATGTGAAATTTACAGGAACGACACAAGATCACACGGGATGACTCACTTTTTCCAAGGTGCACTGAGAGAGGCTGTATTCTTCCAGGTTAAAGTTATGTTTCACTGAAAAAAAAAAAATAGACTGGTAGTAGATGCTTACAATTTATTTATTACCAACCATCTTTTCAAAGTCATCTGAAATAAAAGTGCCAGTAATGAATATGAATGGAACACAGAACTGAATGAACAAATGCTTGGTGAAAGAATGAAATAGTGAAAAGTCAAAGTATCAGTATAAATACATATTAAACTCATCTTGATATTAGAATTTTATCAGATCACTTACTGATAATATGGTTTATTACTCGGTTGGCCACAAAGTTCCTTTGTAACATCTTATGGAAAAACTCAAAGGAACTTCATAGCCAACTATTACTTAGTATGTGTGTCTTGGGGAGACAGCTAAGTTCCTTGAGGGACTGAGGAACTCACCGATACATTCTTACACATGAGGAAAGTTGCAATTCCATCGCATTCCCTTTAAAGAGACCTCAAGGTCCTGCGTATCTGTGCTACAGCCAGTTCCTCTGCAGTCCCGTCTCTCTACCGGGCTTCCCCACCAGGAAGTCTGCCATCAGATGCGCTCCATACACACTCACGGGTCCACAGCTCACCGTTTACGCACAGGATCCTCGGCGCAGAGCCACCCCTGGGTTCCGGGGATGGAGCAGCAGAGATCGGGCAAAGCCTAAACCCCTGCCTTCATGCCGTCTGCATTCTAAAGAAGCACTTACATGTGTAATAAAGTAACTAATAGTAGCTACTCTGGAGAAAAGAAATATCTAGGAAATATGTTGGTGCTCTTTTTCCAGGATGATTTTAAGGAAGGCCACAGTAACAAGCTGATAATTGAGCATACACCTAAAAGAAGTGAGGAACAGCCTGGATATTTAAGAAGCAGAATTCCAGGAAGAAGGATTAGAGTGTGAAGCCCTGGCGCAGGAGTAGGCAGGTGTGTCTGTACATTTAGGAAGAGCAAGAAAGCAAACCAGATTTCTTTCGTCTCAAACATGAGGAGTCGGGCACCGCTCTAGGCTCTTCCAGATGAACCTGCTCAGTCCTCCTAGTAATCCAGACAACTGATACTTGCAACTTGTTCTAAAAATGGAACTCCTGTGTGATCTAGAAATCCCACTCCTGGATGCATAGCTAAAGAAAATGAAAACACCAATTCAAGAAGATTCATACACTCCAGTGTTCAAAAACAGCATTGTCTACAATAGCTAAGATATGGAAGCAAACTAAGTGTCCATCAACAGATGAATGGATAAAGGAGGTGTGCTGTATAAATGTGTATCTCACGTAAAATAAAAAACTGCAAGGACATATTGTTCAGCACAGGGGATGCAGCCAGTATTTTATAATAATTTTAAACGGAGTATAATCTACAAAAACTCTGAACCACTGTTTTGTATGCCTGGAACAAATGTAATAGTGTAAATCTTCTGTACATCAATTGAAAAATGAACATAATTAAGGTAAGAACTAACTCTTCAAAAGTTTTATTTAAAAATGGCCATTCTTACCTGTCTCTAACTTCTGAAAGGCCTGAGAGAGAGGCTGGACGTCCTGCACAGGCAGTCTGTAAGCCAAGAAGGAGGCGTACCTGGAGACAGAAAAAGTGTCACACTTCATCTTGAGTTTCAAGGGGGAAAATGACCATCAAAATAAAAGTTGATATTAAAAGTTAGTAAATAAATTTTATTATTTTTAAAAATTTTATTAATAAAATGAGTGCAAATTAACATTTGGCTTCAATATGAAACAATAAGATAAATTTCAGTAGATACTTCTTGCAGTGGCTTTGTTGGCTGGCAGTTGGAGATAATTCTCCTGGAAATGATCCAGTATAATTACATTTATGCTCCGATATTTCGGTCACCTGATGCCAAGAGCTGACTCATTGGAAAAGATCCTGATGCTGGGAAAGGTGGAGAGCAGGAGAAGAGGGAGACAGAAGATGAGATGGTTGGATGGCATCACTGACTCGATGGATATGAACTTGAGCACATTCCAGGAGATGGTGAAGGACAGGGGCGTCTGGCGTGCTGCAGCCCGTGGGGTTGCAAAGAGTCAGACACCATTTAGCAACTGAACAACAACAATGCTCAGTGTAGTTTATTCAAACCTTTTCCTTGTGGAACATAGACATTCTGAATGAATCTCTGCCAAGTTTGAATAATTTACAGCTAATCCCAATATTTCATCCTTGTAACCAGAAAGTGAAGGCAAGAGACACGTGGTTGAGACTGAGGGTCACAGTAGCGAGGGGACTGAGATGGCTCTACACTTAAAAGAAGCACAACATGAGAGCTGTGAGTTGTTTGATTTGGGGCAAAGTGAGGACTGTAGCCTGAGAGACAGCGCCTGCGATCACTCTGAGACGCTGCTTGGAAGAGGCAGTGGGGCAAGGTCAGTGTGGAGGGGATTCTGCTGGAGAGGG